GATGAGTGGAATGGGTTAGTGTCCTGTGTGGTTTTACTGAAGCTTTCCCAGAGAATGTGCTAGCCACTGTTTCTGTAGTGTCACAGGCCATATAAAAATTATTTATTACATGTGTGCATGTTTTCATGTATGTAGGTTGACCTGTGTGCACATGTGTTTACATGCATGTGCAGGCCAGAGGTCCCCCTCAGGTACTGTTCCTGAGGAGCCCACCACCTTATTTTTTTGAGGCAGAGTGTCTCACTGGGAACTGGGGTCCAATCACTCAGCTAGGCTGGTCACCAGTGAGTGGCAGGGACCAGTCTTTGTCTCCCCAGTTCTAGAGATGCAGAATGACATTTGGGTCACTTGGAGTAGATTTTATAAAACACTCAACTTCATTCCTACTCACATACCTGAAGGTAAGTCCTGGACTAGGCACCTTACGGGTGACCGACGAGTGAGTGAGATGCAGCCTGTCCCCTCTGAGCTCAGCAACTCGCTGCAGGAGAGAATAGCTCCCTAAAACTGTTGATTGCCCCTTAGGCAGAAATCGCTGGCCCAGAGCTTCATGGGGCATGGAGCAGGATAGACTTGTGTATGTGGATGCTGTGCTCAGGCTTGGGTTCTTGTGCTAGCATGGAAGCTCTTTGAGCCATCTCTCCTGCCCCCACGGTTTATCTGAAGACGTGTGTACTGCTTAACAAGGGGCCTCATGCGTGTGGCATCGATTGGCATTTCTATGTGAAAATCTGTATATGTCTCTTTTCTAGAAAGGAAATTTCCAAGATTCTGGGCAGCTCCTACCTCAGAGGGATGAACATGGCATCCTTTTTCATCGCCAACAAAGTCATCCTGTTTGTGACCTTCACCACCTACGTGTTGCTTGACAATGAGATCACAGCTAGCCACGTGTTTGTGGCCATGACTCTGTATGGCGCTGTGCGGCTGACAGTCACGCTCTTCTTCCCCTCAGCCATCGAGAAAGTGTCGGAGACGGTGATCAGCATCCGGAGGATCAAGGTTCGTGGAAAGTACAGGGTTTTTGTTTGTTTGCTTGTTTGTTTTTCCAGACAGGGTTTCTCTGTGTAGTTTTGGAGCCTGCCCTGGATCTTGCTCTGTAGACCAGGCTGGCCTGGAACTCACAAAGATCCGCCTGCCTCTGCCTCCCGAGTGCTGGGATTAAAGGCGTGCGCCGCCACCACCACCACCGCCAGCGTAAAGTACAGTTTTAACGTTGGAGGAATCTCCTGCATCACATGGTTTCTTTTGCTTAGTGTCACTTTGTCTCCAGCGAAATTTAACCCTGCGAATGCCAAACTGTTATTCAATCCAAAATGGTGTATAATGTCCTGTTTGTAGGGCCAGTGTGCTAAAAGTCAGAGGAATTCCTGGTCGTTCATGGGCACAATATAAATAGCAACAGCACAGGGCTCTTGATGGATGAGTGGTGGCTGCAGGAACAAGGGAAGTGTGTCCAAGTAGGAAAAACACGCAGATTTCATCTTCTAGACCAGTGGTTCCCAACCTTCCTAACGCTGCCACCCCTTAATACAGTTCCTCATGTTGTGGTGACCCCCAGCCATCAAATTACTTTGTTGCTACTTCATAGTTGTAATTTTGCTACTGTTATGAATTGCAGTGTAATTATTTGATATGCAGATGGTCTTAGGTGACCCCTGTGAAAGGGTCATAGGACTCCAGAGGGGTCATGACCCACAGGTTGAGAACTGCCATTCTAGACTCATTGGACAACTAGGTGGGTGGGGACTGAGTCCAGGCCTGAGTTGAGGCAATGCTTTTTCAGGCTGGAAAGCCTTTGCTCCTTAGAGAGGCAGTGGCCTGAACCAAACAAGCCCTGTTGAAGAATGATTCTCTTCTTCTTAGCTGTTTGGCTTGTTCCTCTCTGACTCTGCCTTTCCCCTCCGGTCTGCTTTTCACTCTTGCTTCCTCTTTGAAGAGCCCTCCTCTAGCTGGCATTTCCCTCGCCCAGTCTGCCGATTTCCACTACACTTACCTCTGCTTTTCCTAAGTAGCTACTCCTAAATTGCTCAGGGCAGATCGTGTAACCTTGATACTGGTCTGGAATGTAATGGCGCTAAGTGTTGGTGTGAAGGTGAACGTGTCTGGGATGACAGAGAGGCTCTGTGAGAAGCCTGGCGGGACTTTGTTTGGTTTCTGGTTCTCAGCAACATTGCTTCTCCAGTAACAGATCAGCTTAGTCATCTTGGGGCCATAGGGGAGGGGGGCAGGCTTGCCATAAAAGCCAGGATTTTTTTTTCTTTGCTCTGAAGTTTCTGATTTATTTCCCAAAGTATTGCCTGGAGTCCTTGGGCCTGAATTGTGCAACTCCGTCACTCCCCCAGAGTTCAAGGGGTGCTGAGAGGAGAGGGGGGCAGATAGAACGTAAGAACCAGGGAATGGGGAGATTATGTCTGCAGTTTTCCTGTGTCCACCTGGCTCCTGCAGCCGCTCAGACCCAAGTAAACACACAGAGACTTACGTTACTTATAAACTGTATGGCTGTGGCAGGCTCCTTGCTGTCTAGTTCTTACATCTTAAATTAACCCATTTCTATTAATCTGTAAGTTGCCACATGGCTTGTGGCTTACCGGTACCTTTACATCTTGCTTCTCATGGTGGCGGCTGGCAGTGTCTCTTGACTCAGCCTTCCACTTCCCAGCATTCTCCTCTCTGCTTATCCCACGAATACTATACTTCCTGTCTGGCTCCTGGCCAATCAGCATTTTATTTATCAACCAAATCAGAGCAACACATTCACAGCATAGAGAAAGACATTCCCAGCAGGAGATGTGTCACAAAAAGTTGTCTTCTGGACTCGACAAAGCTGTTGTGCTCAAACTCACTGCAGATATGTGTATCTGCGTAAGACTGAGGAGAGAGCCTGTCAATAACATTTCATCATGGACGGAAGAGCGATCTGTGAAGCCCATCCTTCCTGAAGAAGTATTGACAGTTAACAGTTGTTGGTGGAAGATATGTCATTTTCCTCACCAATGTGGCCAACGACATTTTGCTCTTGTTCCAGCGAATAATTTCTCACCCACATTCTGCCAAGAAACTCCAAGTGGGTCTCACGAAAGGAAGCCATGGAAGTAGCAGGGGCTCATGGAGAGCATGGGTTCCAGTGGGGGAGGGGGTAAGATGACCGCACTTTATTATATACATGTGAAACTGTCAGACATTACATACAGTTACTGCCCATGGAAGAGCTCAGTTACGTAGGGTTAGTTCTGCGCAAACAAGTTTTTTATTCCTCCTGACAGTGGCCAAGTAGTGTTGTTGAGTTGGTCCATGCCACTCAACTGCAGTTTTCTTCTTTTTTTTAAACTTGCAAATCTGGGAAGAAGATATGTGGGGATATATTTGGGCCCTAGCTCATTCTAAGTGTATAATGCAGAACTTTTCCCTGCTGTGGCTTCACAACGGGTTCATCTGTTGTAATTCTGCTGTTGCTACACTTGCTTCCCCAAGACTTGAGAGCTATTGTATGGGTAGCACAAGCCAGGTCATCTCTTCATCCTTTGCACACAACAACAGTCACTGAGTATCGGCACCTACTGTCCCTGCTGTACAGAGACAGTACCTCTCAGAGGGCGGCTGGTGCCCAGCACACAGCTTGTATGTGGCAGAACCTGGGTCCTCCTGAGACCTCTGGCTCCTTAACCACTGTTGTATTGACTACGCTGCTTAGGACTTTTGAGGATGCAGAATATTTTAGTCATCTAGCCTTGTAAGAGATTTCTCTGCTTCCTGTAGATGTGGATATTTGAACCCTGGGTTTGTGGCTCTCCTGACCACACTTGGCTTCTAACACATGGCCCTGCTCTCTTTGACATACCATGTCCATCTCCAGCATTGGGCGTTTGCTCCATGAATGCCTTCTGCCCTGAATTCAGCCATTCCTGATGGACGGACTCCCTGGTCAGCTTTCACAGTTCTCTCAGTGCTTAGTTTCCCGCTATGTAAGACTGGTGCACACAGCCCACTGTCACTGGCTACATAATGGATGCTGGGTCAACACTGTTGGTAGAAATGGCAGTTACAGGATGTGGCAGTTGTTACTGTGATGATAATATACCTGGGGTCCTTGTGTGAAGGAGGGGAGGGGAGGGGTGTGGGGGGGGCTGCAGGGTCACTAGGAGGTTAAGTGTGGTGTGTGTTGGGAGAGGTGTCCGAAGAAGGTGCTTCGTGGTGTCCTGATGGTTGTGGTGTTGAGGAGTACTGTAGAAAGGGACCGACACCACGAAAGGTAGAGTTCTAGAAGTAAAGGATTTTTTAAGTTTTAGGATGGAAAATGACATGGGTGTTGTTTCCTTTAGAGTTCTGTTGGGATGCCTGCTTTCGTTCCCACTTTGTTAGTGACATTTGCCTGTGGGTTCAGAGCACCGCGGTACAGCCCTTTCACAGAGAGTTTATTGTTCTCATGCAAAGCTACTTGTGAGGTTTCCTGTGGAAGCAAAAGATCCCTGCTTGTCACAGTTGTGGAGGCGGCCGGTGTGAACTCCAGGTCTCAGCAGAACCATGCTCGTTCAGAAGCCAGAGCGGACAGTCTTTCTCTCCTGACTTAGCATCCAAGGGCTGCTGGGTAACATTCCAGTCTCTGTCCCCAAGGCCGCATGGTTGTTTTGTACCTGTGTGTCTGTATTTCTCATCTCATTAAAGAAGCCGGCTGTGTTGGATTTAGGGCCCACACATGGCCTTGTCTTTGTTATATCTGAAAAGATCCTATTTCCAAATAAAGACAAATTCCAAGTTTCTGGGGGTAGTAAGGACCCCAAGACATGTTTCTAGAGGGATGTCTTAATATGTTTGTATTCCCACAACTAAACTCCAGAATTTGTGAAGAACAGAAATTTGTTTTTCGTGGTTCTGGGAGGTGTAAGGTCAAGGTTCAGGCTGGTTTGGCTCTCCGTTTTCTGTTTCCAGGATCGTACCTCACTGCCTTGCTCTGGAGGGCCGGGGCATTGTATCCTCATACGGTGGAAGACCCAGAGAGCTGGATGCTAGATGAAGCCTCTCTCATAAGAGCTTTAGTCCCATTCACAATAGCTGAGCCTGTATTGTAGTTTAATCACCTCTTTAAAAAACTGCCTCTTAAAAATTGGTTTTTGCATACTAGGGATCATCGCCTAGACTCTGTAAGTGTGTTAGTATTCAGTTATAAGCTCAGCCCAAAGACCCACCTCATTTTCATCATTATTAGCATTTATTAACTTTTACAAAATAACAGGTTTCATGATGATGTTTTTCTCTCTCTCTCTTACACACACACACACACACACACACACACACACACACACACACACACACACAACTGATCATCTGCCACCTCCTCTCACTGTACTGTTACCCCCTCCCTCTTCCTCCAAGCTCCCCTTTGACTTTCATGTATCATCTCTATTGTGTTCTTTAATTATAATTGTTGCAAGAAGACATACGTGGTGGTTTGCACGGAAATGCTCCCCATAGGCTCAGATGCATGCTCAGTCCCCAGCTGATGAGCTGTTTGGAAGGACTAGGAGGTGTGGCGTTGTTGGAGGAGGTGTGTCACTGGGGGTGGGTGGGCTTTGGGGTTTCGGAAGTTCACACCAGGTTCTGTCTTTCTGGTCACTCTGTCTTTCTCGTTGCCTGTGGATTAGGATGTGAAGCTCTCACCTACTCTGTCTGCCTGCCGCCATGCTCCCCACCATGATGAAAATGGACTAACCCTCTGAAGCTGTAAGCACGCCCCCAATTAAATGCTCTCTTTTATAGGAGTTGCCTTGGTCATGGTGTCTCTTCACAGCAATAGGACAGTAATCTAAGACAACATACATTTAAATATAAAAATAAAACCTGCTGAGTCCATATAGTGTTGCTCATGTGTGTATGTTTTTAGGGCTGAGCACTTGGTATTGGATAACCAATTAGTGGCCTCATCCTAGGGGAAAACCGATGGGCCCTCTCTCAGTAGTCATTAACTGAATGTTATCATGTTGGCCATTAAGTTTCAAAACACTGCAACCATACTGGGGAGGACACAGTTCACTTTATTATGAGTTCCAGGTTAGTAGGATGTTCTATAGTATTAGGAACCCTGAATCTTCCTCATCTCTCTGGCATGTGTGGCCTTATGGGAAATGGGTAGAACTGGAGATGACCCTATTAAGTAAAGTATCATCTTCTGAGCTGTAGGTGGGCTTGAAGAAGGTAACCATTATAGTCGTCAGCTTGGGTCACATGGCGGCGCCTGGACACCTAGAGGTTGTTCTGGACTGCCATGTACCAGCCAGATATTGGGGGTTTTGTTCTTACAGATGACCGAGGTCAGGTTTTGAGGACAACTAGCAGGATGTGCCACCTAGTCACTGCTGCAGGGGAGGCTTGGCCTAGGCTGTTTAGTTTCTGTTACACCTTGGTTGTTTATTTTTGCATATAAGCTTCATTTATTCTATGATACATTGTGGTGTGAGCCTATTCTCTTATTAATATCATTTGCTTTTTTTCTTTTCTTAATGTTTTATTTGCTCCCTTGGAATAAGATTTTCACATTGCATTCTCTCTCTCTCTCTCTCTCTCTCTCTCTCTCTCTCTCTCTCTCTGTAAAATCTAGGTTCCATACATGAATGAAGACATGATATTTGTCTTGTTTTTCTGAGTTTATTTTGCTTTGTAGGATCATGTCTAGTTCCATCTATTTTTCTGAAAATGACATAGTTTAGTTCTTTTTTATAGCCAAACAAAACTCCAATATGTCTGTATACCACATTTTCTTTTGCCATTCATCTGCTGATGGGTCCCACGTGGAGGGAGATGTTGGTGGATTACTCGGCTGTTGTGACTTGTGATAAATGGTGCATGTGGAGGTTCTGGTGTGGCTTAGACACTTTCAGATACGTTCCAGCAGTGACAATCTTAGATCCCACGGCTGTTTTATTTGTAGGTTTTCCTTTCTGAGGAACCTCCTTATTGCCAACTAATCTGCATCCCCACTAGCAGTGTTTAAGGGTCACACCTGCCCCCCATCCTTGCTAACATTTGTTGTCATGTGTTTTCTTAGTGATAGAGATTTTGACTGAGTTGGGATTTCCCTGATAGTTAAGAATGTTGAATGGTTTTCAGTGTTTGTTGCTCATTTGTACTTTGTCTTTTTTTTTAAATTCTTTCAATATTGTGTGTGTGGATGTTTTGCCTGTGTGTCTGTGTACCATGTCCATGCCTGGTGCCCACAGCTTCGAGGAGAGGGCATTGTGTCCTCTGGAACTGAAGTTACTGATGGCTGTTGCCACTGTGTGGATGCTCGGAATCAAGTCCAGCTCCTCTGGGAGAGAAGCCGGTGCTCTTAACCACTGGGCTGGTTAGTTTTTTGTCAATTTGACACAAGCTAGGGTCATCTAGGAAGAGGGAGCCTCGATTGAGAAAACACCTCCATCAGATCCTGCTGTAAGACCTTTTAATGAGTGGTTGATGGAACAGAGCCCAGCCCAGTGTTGGTGGTGCCGTCCCTGGGCTGGTGGTCCAGGGTTCTGTAAGAAAGCAGGCTGAGCAAGCTATGGAGAGCAATCCAGTAAGCAGCTCCCCTCCACGGTCTCTGCATCAGCTCCTGCCTCCAGGATCTTGCTTCTGGTCATGGTGTTTATCACAACAACCGGAAGCTGTGGTAGACACCCACTGGCCTCATTTCTCCAGCCTCCTCTCTGTCGTCTTCTGAGAACTGACTTTGCTCACATATTGATGGGATGACTTGAGGCTTTCGGTATTTAATTTTTTGAGTCCTTTAGATATTCTAGATATTAAAATCCCCTGTCATATGACTGGCTGGGAAAAAAATTTCTCCCAATCTTAATCTTTTAACTGTTGTTTTCTTTGCCATGTAGAAGCTTTTCCAACCCATTTGCCATTTCACATCATTAATTTTCATAAAGACCTTTTCAGAAAGTCTTTGCCTGTGCTTGTAATCTCAAGTGTTTTCTGTTTTCTCTAGCACAGTGGTTCTCAACCTGTGGGTCATAACCCCTTTGGAGGTTATGAATACTTACTTTATGATTCATAACAGTCACAAAATTAGAGTTCTTAAGTAGCAACGGAAGTAATTTCATGGTTGGGGGTCACCACAGCACGAGGAACTATATTAAAGGGTCACAGCATTAAGAAGGTTGAGAATCACCGAGTCTAGCAGTTTCAGAGTTACAGGTCTGGCCTTGGGGTCTTGGATCCATTTTGAGTAGATTCTGCTGCAGTTATTCTGATTGAGGAGCATGAGGCCTTTTGTTACCATTAGATTATGACAGTCAGCAGGGATCTGTGCCTTCAGTCACATCGTAAGGAGCAGCTGCTGACTGGTGGAACACAGCGGGGAGGGGAGAGGGAGCCGTTCCTGCTGTCCGGGTGGCTCTGAGAAGATGCTTTCAAAATGTATTTTTGGAAGTGGAAATGACTAAGGAGAGTGGTGACTCTGAGGCCACTCAGCGGCAAGCTGTCGTTCCTTGATGTGACTTTCCTAAGGGGTGGTGGGCATCAGGAAGATGGGTAGAGGGTCCCTTCTCCAGTCTCTGCCATGGGTCCCATGTTCTGCCTGCAATTCCAGCCTGACTAGATTCTTGAAGACCCGGGAACAGCCTTCGTCTTTCTTCTGGCGTTGGCGTGATGTGTGGCACATGATGAGCATCTAGTAAATATTTACGAAATCATGTCCTATCATCTCTTGTGTTTACTGTTAAAAAATCAAACCAAACCAAAATGATAGCAGTGTCCAGTTCTATATGTGTTCAATGTCTTATCAATATTTTCATTTTAGGAATGGTGTACTTCCTGGTGTACTTGTTCAGAATATTGGAAAGACTTTGCTCATGTATCTGACATTTATGTGTATGAAAACACATAGATGTGTGTATTTGTGTGTGTGTGTGTGTGTGTGTGTGTGTGTGTGTGTGTGTGTGTGTGTGTGATATATAATCTGTTAGTGCATGGCATGTTCTGATGTGACTTGACACTATGTTTTAAAGTATTTTTATTATATATTTATTTATTATGTGTGAGGGGACACATATGTCAAGGCATGTGTGTGGAGGTCAGAGGACAGCTTGTGGGAGTCTCTCCTTTCACCCTGTGAGTCCTAGGATTGAATTCAGATTGGCGGACACTCTCACCTGCTAAGGCAGCTCCCTGGCCTCGTGAGTTGACACTTTAAATACAGTTGGTAGAATAATCTTTAGGCTGTAAGAAGTTTTATATTGCACTTCCATGGAAACACTGTTTTGTTTATATTTTTATTTCTGTGCTTAAAATAGTCCATGTTTTTCCTCTTCTCTAGAACTTTCTGTTACTTGATGAACTACCACAGCACAAAGCCCAGGAGCCATGTGATGGTAAAGCCATAGTGCATGTGCAGGACTTCACTGCTTTCTGGGACAAGGTAACGGATCCCTGTGATTTCCTAGACACAGTGGGTAACGCTGATGAAACAGAATTTTGACAATTTTACAAAGTCTGTGAAAGGCAACCGCTCATATACTGACTATTTTATAAAAATTCTCAAAATCAAAAAAACTGTGACCCTAAAGAATTTGAAAGTTGTTCTTTAAAAAATTATTTTATTTTATGTGTGCATGTGGGTCTGAGTCCATGCTTATGTGCAGTTACCCACAGAGGTCAGAAGACAGCTGTGGGTTCTGGGAACGAAACCTAAATTTTCTGGAAGAGCAGCCAGTGCTTTTAATTGCTGAGCCATCTCTCCAGCCCTTCAAAGTTGTCATTTATCTCGTTTTCACAAAAATACTCATCATTGCCTTGGTTTGAACTGGATATCCCTAAGTTTTGACATTGGCAATGTACAGGACTGGGCAGATGAGGGGTCCATATGGGATGAATTAACTGTGTACGTTCTAAATTGTCGTGGATTTTTACCTTGTTTTCATACTCTCTTAGAGCATATTCTGTGATTTGTACTTTTTCTGGGGGTTAGAGTGGGGACCCCAGTACTCTCTGCCTCTGGTTACCTGAGTGGCAACCTGCAGGGAGGAGGCAGCAGGCCTACCCAGTAAGCTGCCTGGGTGTCTCGTGTAGGGTTTCACACATGCTGAGTAAAGCAGGCGAGGCCAGGAGGGTTTCCCACATTGGATTCCATGGGACATACGGGCAAATAGGAAGAATAACAGGGACCACCGTGAGGAAGCGCTCAGTCTTGTAGACTTAGTGCGTCCCTCTGACCACTGCTTTGGGCCTCCAACATCGCGACATTGGCTCTGCTGTGCAGAACTCCTCTCAGCCTGAGAAACAGAGTCCACTGCATGGGAGCGTGAGTTTTTTCAGTAGATAGATGATGGCAAAGAGGAGGCAGTGGTGCTGCCTGGAGACTGGCAAGGAATGTGCTCGCACCCTCAGAGTGAAAGGCAACACCACTCACAGGGAGCACGACTGCCACCAGAAGCTGGGACTGCAGGGCGCGGGGAGGAGGAGGCGCAGATACAGCCTCGGATCAGACTTTTCCTTAGCTGAAGTTGAACTGGCCAGAGGGCCTAGGAAGTGTAGTTTACTTGAGTTAAGAATTCAGCTGAAAGGCAGCTGGAAGCTGAGCAGTACTCCTTCCCAGCTCTCCTTCACCTCCCCGTGCCCTGGGGTACACATGTCAAACTACAGACTCCTGCTCTCTTTATATGGCCGCCCATGTGTAAGTACTGTGTGGCCTGCATCACATTCCTCCAATTCTGCTGTAATGCTGGCAGCTCTCCCCACAAACCAACAGTGTGTTTCCAGGTATGGGAAACCACATCCCTGCATTCTTTACACATGGAATTGCCTGCAAGGTGCTTTATCTGGCCTGGAAATCCCAGCACAGTACATTTAAAGTGTTGCTAGGAACCATGGCCAAAATGCCACTGTAAGCACCCTAGGTGAACACAGCTGGATGAGACACAGCACTGTAAGCACCCTGGGTGAACACAGCTGGATGAGACACAGTACTGTGAGTACCCTGAGTGAACACAGCTGGATGAGACACACCACTGTAAGCACCCTGGGTGAACACAGCTGGATGAGACACAGCACTGTAAGCACCCTGGGTGAACACAGCTGGATGAGACACAGTACTGTGAGTACCCTGGGTGAACACAGCTGGATGAGACACAGCACTGTAAGCACCCTGGGTGAACACAGCTGGATGAGACACAGCACTGTAAGCACCCTGGGTGAACACAGCTGGATGAGACACAGCACTGTAAGCATCCTGGGTGAACACAGCTGGATGAGACACAGCACTGTAAGCATCCTGGGTGAACACAGCTGGAGACACAGCACTGTAAGCATCCTGGGTGAACACAGCTGGAGACACAGCACTTCAGATCGTTCCGCAAGTCTTTTTTCTCTCCAACTCTGCAACACTGAGAAGTGGGCTGTTTTATTCTTCCAGATGTTCTCAGCTTGCATTTCCATACAGAATTGTGCCATCTGTTTCCCTGGCTTTGTCTGTAGGATGATTATGACCTTTGGTCAGGTCCAGATAGGCCACTGGGTGGGGGAGGGGTTTTCCGGGAGAAGCTGGGGTAGAATGAAGAGCACGCTAGGCTGGGCTTTAAGACTGTGGCTTCTATCACAGCCTGCTGGAAGGTCCGGTGAGTACTACAGAAAGCTCTTCTCATTAACCCAGTTCCCATTTACAAACTCAGTCTCTAAGCTCACCGTTTATGGTCCCGAGGGGCTGGGTACCAGGGCTTTCTGCTTTGTTCTGTGCTGTGTCCCCGGGGTGTGGCTCATGCAGCTCATCAACACTGGCATCCCTCTGGGAGGGGTCTGGACCCTGAGAATGAAGGGTCAAAGCTCTTGAGGTGTGGTGCTGTTCTCTTCTGCTCACTACACAGCAGTGCTCAGGCCTCAGCCTGGCCAGGAGCCTCTTTGTCCTAACAGGTAACCCGTGACAGGTGGGTTTTGTCCTCCCTTGTGCAAGGCGGTTCTGCCCTTCAGAAATTCTTTTTCTGGAGTCCAGATGGCTGCGTAGCCTTTGGTTTATTCTTGTTTTTCTGGGATACAGAGGACCATTTCCTTCAGTGTGTTGTACAGAACACCTGTCCTTCAAGAGAACATCTTACAAAAGACTTGGGGTTCAGATCAGTTTTTTGTGGGACACACAGATGTACCCCGTGGGCATTGCAGATGGATCAAATCTGGGAATAGACCCCCTCCGACCAACCCAGAGACAGCAGCGTTTCCAACTACACTCTTCAGTTACCATCAGTTGAGTGTATTATGCTGTCTGAATGCACTGATGTTGGATTTAGACAAAAGTTGTTATGGTGATCGATACTGTGAAGGTCTGTACTCCCAATTTAGACCACTTTCTCCTTTTCATACCTACTGCTGAAGACTGGTCAATCCGACGTGCTGGTTGTCGTAGGCCGAGGAAAGAAACCTTATTCTGGTCCAGGGTACTCTATTAAGATCCTGTAGAACACACTTCCTTCAACTGAATTTGCAGCATATGGAAGTTGTATATAGATCTGGATTTGATTTGACTCCTTGAAGAAATTTAACCAAGAAACTATAAAACAACTTAAAAATTGTCAATGATCTCTTTTCTTGAAATTTACTACAGGTTGAGTATTTTATATCTGAAATGTTTGAATAGGGTGTTCCTGATTTTTGGATATTTTGAGATTTTTTATATTCCCATGTACATAATGGGAAACTTTGGAGATGAGACCCAAGTATAAACATGTGACTCATTTGTGCTTCATATCTACCTTATCCACATAGCTTTACTGTGATTTTAGCCAATGAATTTACATATGGAGTTTCACACTACTGCTGTCAACAAATTTCAATTCAAAGAACTTACAATGTTAAGTTTTTGAATTTGGAATACTAATGTAAACCACACGTAGAGTCCTGTACTTCTTTATGTTAAAATGTATAGGTTGCCCAGGAATGTGGTTTTTGATAGTGTAATATGCCTTATCCTCCTCCCCGACCCCACTGCATGTAACCAGTCCCTCCGTGGTTTTCATGGTAGCAGGGTTGTGCTGACCCTGTTCAGTAAGACAGGCCATGAATATCACAGGTGTAGGTAGACCACAGCCCCTGGCCCACTAGCCTACACTGAGCTTAATTTCTTAATTTTTGTTGTTAAACTCTCTCTCTTGTTACAGTACTGATGGTATTTGTAGGACTTTTTTTTTCTGTGATGGATTTTATGCTGTCAAATGTCGTCCTGAGTCCTGAGTCTCCTGTTGAAATTCATTGTCAAGACACAGTTAAGGATGGTGTCACATTGCTCATTGGGGGCCAGGCATGCTGTACTCTATGCTGCCACCTTGTGGGAGCTAATGATTAAATGATGATTAAAACCTGAGGTCCCCGTGAACATTTAGGAATGATTAAAATCCTCCTACGTGGGATATCCTATTAGAAAAATTGTGTTAGTGCCTTAGTATGAGCCAAGAATCTCTCAAGAAAAGACAGTATTTTCCTTTCTACTGCTTAGATTCTGAATTCATATGGAAACCTGGACTCAAGTTTATTTATATAAACAGCATTTATTTGTTTAAATAAGCTTATTTGAATAAACAGCATGAAAAGGCTGTGAAGAAATAGCATCTTAAGTGAGGAAGAAATACGGGCTGCGTTTGTGTGGCAGCGGCTGAAGGTTTACTTCTTCTACTTTTCAAAGTGCATTATGTTACTTCCTTAAACTAAGGCATTTTGTAAACTTTACCTCATAGGCATTAGACACTCCAACCCTGCAAGGCCTTTCCTTCACTGCCAGACCTGGTGAATTGTTAACTGTGGTTGGCCCAGTGGGAGCAGGCAAGGTAAGTTTTTTATTTTGTTCTGTCTTCAGGTGGGCTCATTGGGAGTTACTTATGTGACTACTGCTCAGGACAGAAGGACTGAGAAAGAGGGAGACGTCTTTCCTCTAGCATGGCCCTAAATGCTGCGTGGTCTTGGGTGGCTGTCCAGCTGACACAGTTCCTCTTAGAACTACCCAAGTCATGTCAGTGCATATTTAGCTCAAGTGCAGCTATGGTTCCTACTGTGCCTGGACCAAAAGATGCACAGGAAAGCCCAGACCCAGGTCCCTCTGCCTTTCAGAAGGATTGAGGTCTAGTCAGGTAAACAGTCTTAAGACCTCTGATATGGTCGGCACACACATGATACACTGGAGGGGGATTCCTTCTGTGTGTGATGAAGGTTTGCTCCTCAGAGCACCACACCTTACATAAGATCTTCCTGGTACATTGGCTGCATCACTGGTGCATGGCCTTTCTGGAACAAGCATGAAAGTAAGGGCAGCTTGGATTGTCTGGATGCAGCCGCAGCTTCATTCAGTATTGGATATGTAAAACTTCTGTTATGCTAGGCCCCCATGCCGCTACCAACATTCTTTTTTGTTAATTTTCATCTGTCTATTTATGTATCTATCTATGTATCTATCTATGTATCTATCTATGTATCTATCTATGTATCTATCTATGTATCTATCTTCCATCTATCTATTTGTCATCTATCAATCATCTATCATCTATTGTCTGTCTATCTGTCTGTCTGTCTATCTTCTATTTATCATCCATCTATCTGTTTATTTATCTGTCATCTATCTATAGTCTGTTTATCATCTATCTATCATCTATCTATCTGTCTGTCTGTCTGTCTGTCTATCTACTGTCTATTGAGACTGGGTCTCAAAATGCCCACAATGGCCTCAGACTTGGTATGTAGCCAAGTATGAATTTGATCCTCCAGCCTCTGTCTCCCCAGTGCTGAGATTATAGGCCTGCACCACAATGCCCAGCAAAGATTGTTAATTAGTCATAGTATTGCATATAGCATTCTTAATTGCATATAGCCAGCCATTCTGTATACCATTGCATTTGGAGGAAGGTCATTTGGGAGGGTCGGTTGTCACAATCTATTTTGTGTGCCTTTTTTTTTTATTTCTATAAAATACAGTGGTGTTATTTCTGTTTTGTTTTTTGCTTTTAGCTGCAACTTTTTTCTTTTCTTTTTCCTTTCTTTCTTTCTTTCTTTCTTTCTTTCTTTCTTTCTTTCTTTCTTTCTTTCTTCTTTTTTTTTTTCCGAGACAGGGTTTCTTTGTGTAGCTTTGCACCTTTCCTGGAACTCACTCTGTAGCCCAGGCTGGCCTCAAACTCACAGAGATCCGCCTGCCTCTGCCTCCCGAGTGCTGGGATTAAAGGCGTGCGCCACCACTGCCCAGCTTTTAGCTGCAACTTCTAATGTGGTTTTTTTTAAGCTGGTGCTTGGCAAACTGTCAGGGCTGGGCAGTGCCTGGAACACAGTTTATTCTGTGCTGACATTGACAGCATGTGCGTTTTGTAAACTCTGTTTCAGTCGTCACTGTTGAGCGCGGTGCTCGGTGAACTGCCTCCAACCAGTGGGCTTGTCAGCGTGCACGGGAGAATCGCCTACGTTTCTCAGCAGCCCTGGGTCTTCTCGGGAACCGTGAGGAGCAATATTTTATTTGGGAAGAAATACGAGAAGGAACGATATGAGAAAGTAATCAAGGCCTGTGCTTTGAAAAAGGTGATGACTTTTGAATTTCTTATACTCTGTTTTCTAGTGATGTGATTGTTACTTTAACCTGGCTTTGGAAGTTTTGTAAGTTATTATAATACTTAAGCTAAGTATTGGAAGCCTGCCTATCTCCACTCATTACTGTTTGGTTTTGTTTATTAAGTTCTGTTCACTTTTTAACTGTTTTTATGACCTTATGTCACATCATCACATCCATGGCCTTGCTCACACGAGTGGAGTGCCCCCGCCTTCCAAACCTGTTTCTGTAATCTTTAACTTAAAAACATGTGTTGATTTTTATCTTATGTGGATGGGTGTTTTGCCTCACGTATGCCTCTATATTGTATGCACATCTGGTGCCTACAGAGGTCAGAAGAGGGTGTCGGATCCCTTGGAACCAAAGTTGCAGATGGTTGTGAGCCACCATGTGGGTACTGGGAATCGAACCTGGCTCCTGGAAGAGCAGCCAGTGCCTGTAAACGGTGAGCCATCTTTCCAGCACCTGGTTTCTTAACTTTTATAAAACATTGAACAATTGCAGAAGTGGAGAGGTTAGTGTGTTGAGCCCTCCTGTACCCATCACATAACTTTAACCACAGTCAACTGGTGGCCAGTCTTTAGTCATTTCTTTCTGAACTTTTGAAGCCCCACCCCCACCCCATGTTCTTTTTTAGGGAATCCTGGACCTTTGTGTTTCACCTGTAAAATTTTCCATTATTTGTGCTTAAAAGAAGTCCCTTTTGGGTGGGTAACATTAAAGAAATAACACAATTGCTTGGATAACCCACATTCTAGTCAGTGTGTGGGTGCCAAGTTCTAATCGTCAGCTTGCACAACCGAGGATAAACTGGGAAGAGAGTAGACAGCCCCACCCCAGCTTGTGCCTTATTTATTTTAAAGGAGACAAAATGTTTCAGCAACTTATAAAAAATAAAAAAAAAAATACTGCAACACTTCTCCAGGAGAGAGAAGGTTTTCAGAAATGACATTGAGCTTGTCAGAAAGTAACAAGATGAAATTTTTTGTTACACATGGTGATTTTAATAAAACTGGTAGATGATCAACAGGAAACCAAACCTACCTGACGGGAGAATAGAAGTTAGCAGATGGACAAACAGCAGATGCCTACAGACATGCTTCTCGCTTTGGCTGTAAAAACTGGTCAATAGTAGCTTGTAAGGGCTCACCACAGGGTCTGTTTGGAGCATCCTGGACACCCGACTGCTCTTTTGTGTGTGGAAAAGGCCAGACAGTCTCTCAGAGCTGTGGTGTTGAAGGCTTAGTCAGCTCTCTGAGGAAAGTGTAATTTCATTTCAACTATGGATGGAGTGTCATAGATTGTCTTGGTCAGTGGTGTTTTATGATGATGTGGAAAGAAAATAATTTCATGTTTTAGTGAGACTTCCTCCCCTTACACTCAGTGGGAGATTATGTGTTTTTATAAATGACATCAAGTCACAGTGACAAACTAGACTTGTTTTAAGTAGTAAATATATATATATATATATATTTTATGCAGTATATATTTATAATACTATAATAATATTATAAATATATACTGCATAAGAAAGGAAGAGCTAACTGCAGAATAATAGCTCTCTTGTATTCAAAGTCTTATGTGTCCATCTCTCTCATTCACTGTCTACATACGTGTTTTATCTGTTTCTCTCTCTCTGTCTACCTGTGGCTCTTTCACTGACTCTTGAGCACATGTGCACACACACACACACAGGCACACACACACAGACACACACACACACACAGACACACACACACACAGACACACACACACACAGACAGACAGACAGACACACACACACACAGGCACACACACATACAGGCACACACACACAGACACACACACACACACACACACACACACACACACAGGCACACACACACACAGGCACATACGCAGGCACACACACACAGGCACACACACATACACACACACAGGCACACACGCAGGCACACACACACATACACACACACACACACAGAGGCACACCCGCAGACACACACACACATGTGCGTGAAAAGGTACATGAATCTGGAATCTCTTACCATTAATTCCCTAGTGTCTCTGATGTTACTATTCCCACTTAGTCAAACGGGGTCTGGAGAGAGAAAACTAGTCACTGAACACTCCTAGATCCAGCTGAAACCTTTCAGGTGACTCCTGACTCCCTTTCCCTGTGCCCAGCTACCTTTGCATTGAGGCTTTGTAAATAGAGTGTATTTGAAGTTTGGGGTGATAGATGGAGGTGAATGTGGGAGAGACAGATGTGAAGCTTTCCTCTTTACTAAAACCACATTCAGCTCTTGATGCCCACCAGCCCCTGTGTTCCCAGGGTAGCCCAGCCTGGGGTGGTTGCATTGACTGTAAAGACAATGGGCTGTTCATGTGAAACATGGCAGGATTTTATAACACTTTTTTTCTAAAACAATAAAACCAGTAGCTCAGACTAGTCAAATAAAGGCTTTTTTTCTGTAGACTCTTACCACACCTATCCCCTAAAAGTAGTATAGTGAAAAATCAGAAAAACCAGATTTCTCATATTAGATACATTGATAGCAACTAGATTTAATATATTAGAAGTAATTGAAATAAGTTTGTAATTTAAAATCATGTCTGGGATGAAATCATGAGATGTTAAATCATAGTGAACATTTATCAACATCCCTCCCATTTGGTGACCTGTCCACATTGACATTGGTGAGTTACAGAAGATCTCAGCAGACGTCCCAGGAATGGAGTCCCTTGGGGCAGTGAGTGAAACCCAAGGCCCTGGGTCAGGAGCTCTGAGTTCGAGTCTTTGTTCCTCCTGGCTGAGTGTTTCTGGCTGATCGTTAGGACCTTCTGTGATGTTTTCTCAGAAAAAGCCTGTGATTGTACTCTATACTACTTTTTTAAAAAGCTTAAAATCAAAGCACGGTGAATAGTATACCTCACAGAAAACGATGCCAGTGAGACAGAGACCCTCATGTGTTTCCTCTTCTCCCCTCTCTCCCCTCCCCTCTCTCCCCTCCACTCCTCCCCTTGCTCCGTGCGTCCATGCCCGCGATTGCTGGACATGTCTTAAAATGGCTCATAGTTTCCCATTAAACCAGGGCTCTTGTCATAAAGTTATTACATGTGCAGCAGATCTATGCTAGGCCCTGCCAGTGATAATTGCAAGCAAGTCATAAGGAAATAGTTCTCATATGTGGGGTATTTTACACATGCTCCTTATCCTGTTATTTGCCATTTCTCTCCAAGATTCTGTGCTTTGTCAGTTTAATTTTTTACATAAAAATATAGATTTGTAGATTTGGATACATTCCTAGATCCTCAAATGAAAGTTCAGTTTTCTCCCTCCATTCCTCCCTGCCTCCCACCCTCCTTCCTTCCTTCCTTTGACTTGCATGTCGTGAAACCCACTTGGTCCGCCTGATCGGCACCTCATGTAGATTTTGTTCCCCTCTCTGTCATGCTTGGGAAGCATGGCTGAAGTGGAGAGCTGAGGCAGACGTGAGTGGAACAGTTGGTGAGGGCCCACTTTGATGACGTGAACCTGTGGCCTATGCTCCCATTGGTCTTCTGTCTATTCTTTAGTGAAGGCATTCAGGCCTAGGAGCGGTGAGCATCTCCTGACTTGCCCTCCAAGTCTGTATCCACCACCTTCTCCAGCTCAGTCATTTATGACCCGTTCCTCCTTTTCTGTGCCCAAAGCATCATGGTCCTCCCTAATGAAGCCCTAAGTGCTGTAGCTTAGAACTTTGTCTGGTATGTGCCACTTCTGTGCCTGTCCCCTGTACCATGGGGAACCACTCAGAGTTCTTGCTTAGCATGCTACAGCAGCTCCTTCTGTGGGACCTGCTTGCCTCTGTGAGTGATTCCTCCCACTGCATGAGGAGGCAGATCATACCATCCCTTGAATTTCCTAGGAGCGAAGCTGCGGCCCCTCCCTCCTCATCAGCATCATCTCCTAACACTGCTCCAGCTCCATTGCCTCAAGGTTGCTGTCCTTTGAACACACAAACGTACATCAGCTCACAGGAGCTGCACATTACTCCTTTCTGTATATGATGCAATCTTTTTTGCCCAGATTTGGTGGGTCCACTCTACCTAAACTCGTTATGAGTCCTGGCTGGTCATCCAATGGGAAATAGATCTTCCCTCTCCAATCCCTCCAACAACTAGCTTTCTTATGTCTTGGCACTTGTCTTATATATCCTTATTAGCTATGTTTCATAATGTCAGTCTCCATTATGGATGCTGTGGGGACTTTGTTTCCTTCACTGCCAAAGTTACTGTGTCCAAAACAGTGCCGAATCTCTGGTCATTGCTTGGTACATCCCTTTTAAAATAGTTAAGTACCCTAGAAATAGTTAAATCTTCAGAAATGGTATAACATGGAAATTCCCTGAGTCCTTTGTTTTGATTAAATGCACCTGTGTGTTCTCCCCACCCGTCCCTAAAATGAGACTGTGGAAGAGCAGCTGTAAGCCTTCCCTCCTCTGTTTCTCCATGCAGGACTTACAGCTTTTGGAGGATGGGGATCTGACCGTGATAGGAGACCGGGGAGCCACGCTGAGCGGAGGGCAGAAAGCGCGGGTCAACTTGGCACGGTAACTTGTCTCCCAGCAGCCACTGGGACTTGCTGAAGCTTCAGGCGGTGGGGTACGTGGTATCTGCTCACCATGTCAGTGCCTTGGGAAGCACGGTTTTGAGTAATTCCACAGACACTTTGCAGGACCATCCAGTTGCTGAGTGCTGAGATCCCTAAGACAGTGGCCAGTAAGGCGCTCTTCAGTTTGATTTCGCTCTTTGCCTTTCAGGGCAGTCTACCAGGATGCTGACATCTACCTCCTTGACGATCCCCTCAGCGCTGTCGATGCAGAAGTGGGGAAACACCTGTTCCAGCTGTGAGTTTGTTCTGTCTTGGGTCAGCTCCGTGTTCAGGAACCCTTTCAATTGGGCCCCGTGAAGGATCTGTAATTTCTACAGCTTCATCTCGGCTCACATTTATGTCCCTCTTCTCCTCTGTTCCCCTCCATATGATGCATTTTGCAAGTATAAGATCAAGGCAGGAAACAGGGGAGGTGCTGTCAGTGCGGCGAAGCGCACAGAGCCCTCGGTTTAGAGTTTCAAAACCGAAGGCACATTCTATACGTCTTTCCTCTAGTTCCTTGAACTTCATAGCCAAGAGACTGGCAGACCTGACCCCCAGGAAGAAGAAAATATGCACCTTTAAATTGAAGGAAAGGGCTTGGCAGCTTGGTAGTGTGGAGTCGACTCTCCATAATTTAAAAATAAGATTTATTTTATTTTGATGTGTGTGTATGTATATGTGTCTGGTCAGTGAATGCCACATGTGTGTCAGTGACAGAGGTGGCTAGAGAGGGGACTGGATTCCTTTGGAGCCGGAGTTAGAGGTGGTTATGGGCCACCTGACGTGAGTGCTGGGTACCGAACTCTAGTCCTCTGCAAGCGCCTTTAACCGGCCATCTCTCCATCCTCCATAGTTTTACTTTGTATGAGCAATGAGGTTTCACTGGTAGCATAGGCCTCCATGGAAAGGCCTCATTGGTTTATGTTGAACTGTAAGCTGGGAGGTTTGGGGACGCTGAGAATGGGATTTCATTCCTTCTGATAAAACGAATGGTAGACACAGGTATAAAGGTGTGAACGAGCAAGGCACCAGTAGAGAGCAGCAAGTGGACACATCTTCCTCAAGGGGCAGTGAGGTTTTATAGCGGATTAAGAGCCCCAGAAACACTCACTTGAAGTTCCTCTCTTTTTTAGCCATGGGCACCAAAATAAAATGCTACAGATTGTGTGGCTTGTACAGCAGAGCATCTGCCTTTCTGAGCTGTGGGGGGGTGGAAGTCTGAGGTTAGGGTACGTCGTTGGCTCAGCGCCCACCTTTCATCTTCCCCTCCTTGGGTATCTTTCCCCAGATTTCCTCTTCTTCAAAAGACACCAGTCAGGTTGCTTGAGGACCGCCCTCAGAGCCGCTCTTAACTTCCTCTCTGAAGGCTCTGTCTTTAAATCGTTAGGTGTTGAGTTTTAGTACATGAATTTAGGGGAGTGGGGTTCAGTTCATAACAGATACTCAAGCAGAGTGGAAAGGACACATCCGGGCTCTGGATTCTAGGACTAGAACACAAGACCATCTACTGAGCCATGGCCTTCCGGGGCTTGGCAAATGGTGGGGAGTGACCGCTTCCACGCCAGCATCGGATACAAACGTGTCTTGTGTCGTGGTTATGAAAGTGTGCTGGCTGTGGATGGTAGCGGTGGTGGTTGGACAGCAGTGTGAATGCACTGTATGCTCTGAATATAAGTCACTTAAAGCAGCTAAAGTCGGGACTTCTGTGGCGTGTGCATTTTCCCACAGTAGAAATAAAAATGCATGAGTGGTAGTTAGTGCTGAGTGTTTGTGAATGCAGAAGGCAAAAGCAGCCGGCGCCTGGCTGTGACCCAGCTCTTTGATCTGACAGAATCAGCCGTTCGTCACCTGGGTGAGCCTTGAGTGGATCCACTCAAGTTCCCCGTCACTCAAAGACTAGTTTTTGGTGGGATGCTGTAGTGGAGTCTCTTGGGAGGAGAGAGGGAGGCATTTTAATTGCTAGGTATCAGTGTGCAGATCACAAGGGTGCCCCCAAGTTTCCCTTTGAGCATGGGTATTTATAAAGTCTTCTTGCACCCTTAATGTTTAATGGCTTTGGATAGACACTCGATAGAAGCAAACTTGTGAAAATTGTTGCTTGCTAATCAGAACCACATTCTTTGGGGGAAACTTGGAGCAGGGAGCACGAATGCAATTTAGGAAATCACTCAGCAGCAGCTGGAGAATGCTCTCAACGAGTTAGAAAATTGGATCGAACAATATGCTATGAAAGATGGCGGTCGTGTTGAAGCTTAGAAATGTGAAGTGTTTTGTATTAAACGTGAATGAATTACTCTTCTGTTTGCCAGTAACAGTTTTATTTCAATCATGAATATACATCCAAGGTTATTAAGGTTTGTGAGTTTCACAACTCTATGTTGCAAACATAGAAAATGGAAGGCTCGGGACTCCAGACCGATGCCAATCTGAGTTAGCTGTAGATTCTGCGTTTTAGAAAGTCTCAAAATCACAGATGCCTGTCTCTTTCATGATCTGTTCAGGGCTGTTCTAATTAGATCTCCCACACTGATGCCTGCCTCATCGTCTTAGTTTATGTATTTCTTAGTTTATATGGGCTACTATGACAAAATGCCATAGCTGGGTGGCTTAGAAACAACAGAAATGTATCTCTCATGGCTGTGGAGGCTGGAAGCCTGAGATGAAGTGCTAGCAGATTTGGTATCTCACGAGGACTTGCTGATTCACAGATCCATGTCTTCTTGCTTTGCCTTAACTGACAGAGGTGGTGCTGTCCACCCATTGGTTCTCTTTTATGAGGAACAACACCAATCCTGTCCATGATGGCAGATTCCCACGAAAAAGCCCCACCTCTTCCTACCTTCACACGAATGTGTGGAGAGACCAAGGCCCTCAGCATCCTGCAGTGACTCACCATCTCGGCTTCCGTTTTCCACACCTTCTCACCACTAGGATGCGGTTCCAGGTGCTAGAACGGAAGACGTTGTTCTTCGCACTCTGCCCACTGCCATTCTCCCGTAAACTAGAGTTCCAGCGTTATGTTGAGGGATGTGTGCCTTTTTCATACCTGCCTACTTTAGTGCCATTCCCTCTCAGCCTGGCGACTGTCTGTCAGGAGGGAGGAAGGAGACAGGCCGACATGCCTGCCTTTCTCTCTTGCACCTCCAGGAAGCGCTGTGGTTTTTTCTAATTGTGTCTGGTAGCTAAATGCTCATAGTCCGTGACCCGCAGCACTTAATGTGGGGTTCTGTATTAATTGCCCTTGAAGCCCACACGGAACTGAGTACATGGAAGTACCCCAGAGCCCCGGCACCTCGCCGGCCCCGGCACCCTCCTGTGTCACCAGTGTCACCTCCTTGCAGAGAGGCCTTCTCCCCCCACACCGTCTAAAATGGCAACGTTCACCTTGCTTTTTCTTGTAGCTCACTCACATCATGACACCACAGTGCATTTTCCATGTTTATGCTGTCTCCTCTGCATAAGCCAGGGTGTTGTTGGTTTACTTGGCCAGTGGGTGTCTTCTCAGCACCCAGTGCCTGGCACTCTGCATGTCAGCTGAGTGACTCCAAGTACTTACTGACTCTGTCCCTGAAGCCTCCACTGTGGTGTGTGGGACTGCAGTGGTGAGCTCTTTGTGGTTCTTGTATGAGATCAGAATTAAACGGTGAATCCATCAACATCAATATGACATAGGAAGGCACAGAGGTGTGTGTCTGCATAGTTTTAATAGCTTGAGAGGTGGAGGCAGGAGGATTGAGTTTAGTATTTTTGGGCCAATCCGGGCAATATGCCAAAGGCCTTATCTCTCATTATTCATATATATATATATATATATACTGACTTAGAAAGTTTTACTTTTTAAAAATTTAATGACTGTTTCCCTAGACATTTTGGGAAAATAAACTACCCAATTTAGGGAAAACATAACACCATCAATTAGAAAATTATTCTAAGTTTTTAGTTATCTTGTTTGTGATGGAAGTTGTTGGGAAGAAAGCATTTGAAGCCTCTGTCTGGCTCAGGCCTTGTGGGTGTTATAGCCCCAGGACCGGATGTCAACCTCTCCTGGAAGTGGTCTTGTAAAGGGGTAAAGGCTCTCACTGAAGGAACAATTCAGCCGAAGGCTTGAGCCCTGCGCCCGAGGAAGGGTTTGGCACGTTGAGAGATGTAGGTAAGAACTAAGCCACGTTAAGACATGCCCAAGGGGAAAATTAACCTTCGTTGAAAACATGAAGGGATAGTTTCTACATGTAGAGTTGGGGGTCTTGGCTCTGATAATAGGCCAGTTCTAAAAGCACCTTTAGTTTTTTATAAAGACTTTTCGGTGGAAAAGTGGAAGCAAATGGCTAGGGAAGGGTGGAAGGTGGAGCTGACATTTTCTGAGCATCTGTGGTTCTGTTACCGACCTTTCCCCATATCTGTCTCTGTCTTTCTCAGATAAATAGCTTTAACTTCTTCATTATGTATAACTTTTGATTTTTTAAAAATTAAAATATAATTATGTCATTTCCCCCTTCCCTTTCTTCCCTCCGACTCCCTTGTGTCCCTGTCCCTCTTAAAATCATGGCTTTTTTCTTTCATTGTTGTTGTAACACCACACACACACACACACACACACACACACACACACACACACACACACGCCTAAGTTTATAAATACAACAAGTGATTGTGAGGTACCCACAAGCCTTAGTTGAAACCTTTACACTACAGCTTCTGCATCTAAAAGTTCAGGGAACATCCCTGAAAAGAGGGAGGAAAAACTGTCAGGACCAGAGGAACTGGAAGTTTGCTGTGAGATCACATCTAGAAATGTCAGAAGCTACACCCGTTAATTCTCACTAACATTGTACAAGGATGACTGCAGTAGACATACTAATGTGGACGTCTACTACGTGGATGTCATGCTTCGGAATGCTGACAGCTTCAGAAATCGTCCTCCCCAGGGAATAGCACAGCAGTTGGTGATCCAGTACCAAAGGGCCAGCCCTGAAAGCACACGCATGAGTGACGTTAAGCAGACTGAGCAGGTCATGTGTAAATACTTAGGTGTTTGTGTGTGTATCCAAGATCTCTGACTTCACTAGCCCTGGGTAGCTGACTGGGGTTCCAGTACTAAGCTCCTTCAGTTCAATTAGAGAGCTGTTGGTTACTGCTATAGCAGTTAGTGCTTCTATTGCACCCTTAGGTCATCATACCATCCTGGTCATGATTGTGTTGCAGGTGTAGTAGCTGGTAGGACTACTGCTCCCCTTCTTTGGAAGTTTGAGTAGCACCTTCTGATACCACGAAAGCTAGTCCTCAGGGAGAAGTAGCCTTATTTTTGAGATCAGGAAACTAAGGCTCCATGAGGTTTAGTAAGCAGCCAAGTAAGGCTAGACAGGGATTTGAAGAGCTGGAGTCCATGTCTTCCCATGACAACCTCAAAGGTTGTATGAGGCCATTGACTTCTTCCCTTTTAAATTTTGGAAATGTTTAGTTCTAAAAGAAGAATATTTGCTCAAAGCATGGGGGAGTAGGATTGTCGTGGAGACTGGTTGTGGCCTCCTCATTCACTTTTCTACCCACTGTTATTTAGGAAAAGAGATTGGGAAGTATATGTTGGTAAAGGTGACTGAGGTTCTAAGGCTTTTCATTTACTTGGTTTTTATTCTTATTTGTTCAGTTTTGTTGTTGTTGTTTTGAGACAGGGTCTCATGTAGCCCAGGCTGGACTCAAACTTGCTATATAGTCAAGGATATCCTTGAGCTAAGCCTTCTGTCCCTACCTCCTTAGGACAAGGATTATAGGCAAATACCACCTCTGCTTCAGGGCTTTGAGCATGCTCTGTCTGTGCTCCACCAACTGAGTTATAGCCCTAGCCTCTCAGAGTTTTATTAATTAATGTATATATCACAAGTCATCACCTAAGCAGATGTCTAAGAAAAATATCCACCTTCTTATGTCATGTAAGTCTGTTTCCTTAGGACTCCTATATCACAATAAGGTAATTAGAATTTTAATCCAGTCATGCTTTGGAATATTAGTACTGTTCAACTGCTTTTATTATGTATCACACAAGTTTCATTTTTTGTCATATAATATGTAAGTATGCATAAATGTTAAACTAAGTTTTAGAAGAAAAATTAGCAGCCACAGCCTTTTCTACTGGCGACTTTTCAAAGTTCGTGATAGCAAGGCTCACGTGCTGCCAGTGGATTTGAATGCTTGGTCCATATTATTAATTTATATTTGTATGTATTTAATTTTTAAGATTCATTTTTATTATTTCCAGTTATGTCTGTGTGAGTCTGTGTGTGGGTACGAGCACATAAGTGTGGGTGCCCTCAGAGTCCAGAAGAGGACCTTGGATCCCCTGGAATTGGAGTTACAGGCTGTTGTGAGCTGCACAAAGCGGGTGCTGAGAACCAAACTTGGTTTCTCTGCAAGGGCAGCGCCCACCCTTAAGGGCTAACCCTCCTGTCCAACTGTATTTAATTTGTATTTCTGCCTCTTTTACAGACCATCGTTACTGTGTTGTCCTTGTCTTGTCATGGCTTGAACTCTCATTTTGCAGCCAGAGAACCCGCTAATGGGTTCTCTCCTCTGGTGTTTTCCATCTGCAGGTGCATCTGTCAGACCTTGCACGAGAAGGTCACCATTTTAGTGACTCACCAGCTGCAGTTCCTGAAAGCTGCAAGCCACATCCTGATACTAAAAGATGTAAGTTGTTTCCATTTTGAAAGCAGAGTTGGAGTCTGTTAGAGATTTTACTATAGATTTTAGACAGGGGGGTTCAGAGAAAGAAGAGTGCTTGAGAAGAAAGTAAAGTACACTCAAGAGCACGGTGTGGGCTTCTCAACGGCAGGTTGAGAGCATGAGCACTGACTGTCCATTCAGAGTGTCCACTGAACCAGCTAGAACCTCAGGTTGAAAGTGGGGGTTCCCATCAGGCTGCTCTCCGTGGACTTCTTGGGGAGCTGCCTTCCCTCCGCCGGTTTCACATCCATTTCCTAGAGTTGAGATTCACATCTTTGGGGACATCCCAAGGACTTTTAGAAGTATCACTGTTAGGGCTGGGATGTGGCTCTGTTGGTCCAGCATATGCCTGGCGCGCACAGAGCCTGTGTCCCATCCCCCAGCACTCCATAGACTGGAGGTGCACACCTGTAGTCTCAGCCCTCGAGAGATAGAGGCAGGAGGATCAGAAGTTCAAGGTCATTTTACTGAGAGAGCTCAGGGCCAGATTGGAATACATGAGACCCACAAACAAGCAAGCAAGCAAGCAAACAATAGCATCAGAAAACCCACCGGAACGCAGAAATGTCACTTACGTTCCAAGCCATAGTCCTCATACAGTCCTCGTATAAAATTGCTCCCTCAAATTTACAAGCTGCTCTAGTGAGATTAATGATGAAAACGATGCTATTTTCTTGGACATTTTTGTTTCATTTTTTTTCATGACCTGCGGTACAGTAGATAGTTTGGAAATTACAGATATTAAGACATCCTTCTGCCTATCCTTGGATTGTTATCTGTTTGCCTAGAGAGCGTTTTTCCATTAACAAAAACAGTGAATGGCTGAACGTCCTCTGCTCAGAGCTGCCTGGCCACTGGGACCACTCGATGGTACCCCTGCACACGTGCTTGGGAGTGAGGCTTCACAACACAGTCATATGCAAGGGAGTAGGCGTGATGGCGCTCGTGGGACAGTGACATGATGGCCATGTTTTACCTGGAGGAGGGACATCTGAGGCTTGTCCTAGAAAAAGAAATCTGTTGTTTTCCATTAATTACAGTGGCTGCCTCTTAAGCAACCTAATCAGCAACCGAAAATCCGCTGCTGGAAGGGCTGCAGCTGGCGGGAATTCTGTTCCCTCAGGCACTGGCTCTCTCAAGGCCACTAAGGCAAACTTTATCTAGATCTCTACCCCTCTATGGAACTCAAGATTGAAAGGTGGAGGTGAAAGTCTGCTGGCTCAGAGAGGCTGAATAGCAAGTAGCTAACTTCCTCTCCTTGCTCCTGTTTCCCAAGAGACCAGCGCCCTTCTGCTCAGCCCCCACTTAAGAACCCTAGCTACACATGGTTCCTCCCTACCACTTCCTGTCAGTTAGTTGCTGACTCAGCCTCCTGACTGCAGGTTAATTTTATGTAGTCAAACAAACGTAACACGTCTTTGCATCATTAAACAAATATTTCACAGCATAAACTCATGTAACACATCTTAAAATAATATTCTACAACAGAAATCACCTGGTATGTTTGGAGGAACAGCATGGAGTCTACCTGGTTGTGCTGAGTGAGCTGGGGACTTGGAGGGAGATGGTATCAGAACACAGGACACTGGCCTTGGACTGAGAAAGCCACTGTTGTTTGATTCATGGAAGGGAGGGAATAGTCTCATCTGTGACTTTTACACCCCTGCCCCCATGCCGCCACCACCCATGCCGCCACCACCCATGCCGCCACCACCCATGCCACCACCACCCATGCCACCTCCACCCATGCCACCACCACCCATGCCACCACCACCAGGATAATCTGGGGCTGTAGCAGAGGCAATTAGAACTCAGTCATCTAGTTCAGCAGGCAGAGGGATGTGTTTGGGTCAGTGAGTCAGTTTTCTAGGGCTCAGTACTGGGAGCTAATGGCTGGATATGCTAGGAAGTTGCTGTGTCTTTAGGCCAGCGCCTGCTGCTCTGTTATGCCCTGGTGGGACTGAGCTATCTCTGGAAGCTCTGGGGCGATCCCTTCCTTGCCTCTTTTGCCCTCTGGTCTCCGGCAGCCCTTGGCCGTCCTTGGCTCGAAGCTGCAGTATTCCGGAGTCTGTCTCTGTCCTCACAGGTCTGGCCAGCGTTTGTCTGGCTTTCTTCTCTGGTATGACCTCACTTGATGATGTCTGCAAAGTTCCTGTTTCTCAATAAAGTCCCATTCATTACCAAAATTCGGAACTAGAGCGCCTTGAGGCACCACTTAACCTGTGACAAACCTTATTATCTTATTGAGGTGAAACCTTATTATCTTATTGAGATCAAAATTAGCACCAGATTTTCAGGTTTCCCGGTGGTCCCCCGTGTGTCTGCATAGGTGACTTGGTGCTGGCCTTTTGCAGTGGGGAAGCTCTGAGTCAAATTCTTCGTCATAGACAGAAAACAACCCCTGAGCACCTCCGTGTGTTCATCACTCCCATCTGCTTTATTCAGAGTTGAGTTGACCACAGTGAAACACCTAAGACAGGTCGCTTGATTTTTCTATTTTATTAAAATAGATTTTTTTCTTATACAGTATCTCCTTATTACAGTTTCCCCTCCTTTTGTGCCTCCCAGCTCCTCATCACCTCCTCTCCCATCTGGATCCACTCCCTTTTTGTCTCTCCTTAGAAAACAACAGACTTCTAAGAGACACCATCCAAACACAACACAATAAAATATAATAAGATGAGACAAAACCCATCACATCCAAGTTGGACGAGGCAAATCAAGAGGAGGAAAAGAGCTTAAGAGAGACACAAGAATCAGAGACCCACTCGTTCTCACACTCAGGAGTCCCATGAAAACACTAAACTGCCAGCTGTAATCTACGCGGAGGACCTGGTGCAGACCCGTGCAGGCCTGTGCCTGCTGCTTCGTCTCTGAGCTCATCTGCGCCCTGCTTAGTTGATTCAGAGCTTGTCCCCCTGGTGTCCCCTCCCTCCCCTCTGGCTCCTACACCGTTTCCATCCCCTCTTCTGCAGGGTTCCCTGGGCTCTAAGGGGAGGGATCTGATGGAGAAGAGAGGTCACTTTGTAAGGTCCAGGACACAGTGTCTTCACGGGCTCCCTTCTGAAAGGCCCTTCCAGCTGCAGCTCTGGGAGAATGGCACAGGAGGAGCTCACACACTGAGAAACACAGCCCCAGAGAGACTGGGGCTGCACAGGCCCTTCTGGGTTTAGGGCTTCCTACCAGGCCCCACCTCCGAAAGGTTCCAGAACCTCCCAGTAGTACCACCCCAAGGACCAAGCCTTTCATCACAGAGTGGGAAACACAAATAATAAAGCCATGTCCAAATCGTAGGATCCTTCTGCAATCTCTTGGCCAAAGATGGAAATGGCAAATGCATGTTAGCTAGAGTTCATAATGTTTATGTGCAATTATTCTCAGAGAGATAGATTACATATTATTATGATGATAGTAGAGTGCCTGCAAAAATCCTTTAGTGCCTCCCTGATACTTACTGTGGCTACCAAAGAGAGGCAAGGGAGCTGTCAATCAAAGTTCTATGGAATAAATTCTCACCACAAAGAAGATTATATAAGGCAGGGTGACTATCCCCTTAGCAACAACTCAGTGTGTCAGCTGTCTCCTGTGCCCCTGGGAATAGGAGCTCAGATTCCTCAAGCTGGAAAACAATTAATTTCATGTGCAGAGAGCTGAATATTCGGCCTGCAGAGTCAGTAGGTGTAGAATAGTTTTCCACCTGTCTCCACATGGCAACTGCTTTGGAGAGCCCGCCTCCTGCATATTGTGAGTTTTGTTTTTAGTACACAATTCATTCACCCACTAGCGGGGACCCTGGAGAAACTGAGACCTGCTCTTAGTATTAGTTTGGCCCTCTCTAAGAGCAGAGAGGATGACTGCCCCTTTGGGCCCCTCTCTGAATTCTTAAAGCTTGTCTTCTTAGGAAATGTCCTCTGTCGGTAGTCATTTCCCTGTGTGTCTTACTGAGAGGAAGGGCGTGATTGCATTTAGCAAGTCTGGAAATCAGATCTTAGCTCCTAAGTGCAACAAGACACAGTGTTTCTGTAATAATTTTCTAATCCTTAAGTTACCAGGCTATGAAAAGCCCAAAGGTACTGAGATTTTCCTCAGTGGACCATCTTGATTGGGGTGGGGGTTGGGGAGGACAGGGGTAGGTGGGGTCCAGGCCATTTCCTCTAACCTGACCTGTCCTCACTTCAGAGCTACTTCCCTTTGATTCAGTGCCCCAGGACTTTGCCCAATATAATTTTGGCTTTAGAGAAATCATTTGGGGTTACTTCATGGGGTAAAAACATTGTGAAGATATTTGTACATCATTTCCTATAACTTCGGTCTGCAAGAAAACATATGATTAGATGTCTTGTGGAATGTTGAGTCTTCAGTAAGGATCTTGAATTTGAGGGGAAGTTTTAGTCTAAGACTCTGAAGTTCACACATGTCTTGCCCCAGAGCGGGCAGGTGGCCAGCTAAGGCTGGTGAGTGTGTCCTATCTCGGTGGAAATGGTCATGATATCTCCCTGTCAATCAAATTTCCCACTGCGTGAGTCACCTCTGTTTCTGTGTTCTCACGAAAGACCCTGTGGACTCTCCCATCATCTACGCTTTTTGCTTCCTTCAATGGCCATGGTATTTGGGTCTTAAGGCACAATGACATGTTGGTTTTACATTGCCAAGCACCTAGAAACTGGCAGAAAACAGGATTCTCACTGAGGAGGCAAGCTGAGTTACTTCATATTTGTCAACCAGGATTCCAGGCCCAAGAGCAACTGTAACTCAAGGCCAGTTGACTGCGGTTTGGTTAGATGTTATTAACTGCAAATGTCTCCCTCTGAAATTCCTTTTGTTTTAGGGACAAATGGTGCAGAAGGGGACGTACACCGAGTTTCTGAAATCTGGTGTAGATTTTGGCTCCCTTTTAAAGAAGGAGAGTGAGGAGGCCGAACATTCCTCAGCGTCAGGAACTCCAACACTCAGGAAACGAACCTTCTCCGAGTCCTCAATTTGGTCCCAGCAATCGTCCAGACCCTCTTTGAAAGATGGGGCTCCAGAGGGCCAAGATGTGAGTTCATCTTGTGTTATATGTTCTTTGGCTCTTACAGACATTGTGACTCTTTGAGTCACTCTGTTGGTGGCAGTTCCATTTGTCTTAAAGTTGAGCCTGTTCTAAGGTGTAATGCGATGTCATTGGCAGGGTTAAAACAGAGTTAAGGGGAGAACCCTGGCTGTGGCTCTCTCCTGGGTGTGGGCTAGAGAACCTCACAGACATCCCTAGTGGCTCTGCTTCTAAAAGTTCCAAAGGTCTATGTGTCTCACGGATGCCTGAAGTCTAGAATTTATCATATATGCAATAGCCTATGTACTTCTGTATATTTTAAGCCATCTCTAGATTACTTATAATTCCCAGTACCATATAAATGCTGTATAAACACTTGATATATGGTATTACTAGGGGATAGTGGAGAAAAAAAGGGTCCATACATGTTCAGTACAGATGACGATTTTCCCCTCTGAATGTTTTCAATTTGCAATTATGGAACTTGAGCATGCCAGGTCTGACTATAGTCTTTGCTATCCAAACCCTCATTCTCCAAATCTAGGAGCCTGGACAATTCTGATATAAATGGATATGCTCTCCTCCCTCTCGTGTGGAGGTATCTACTCAGTTACTGTCTTTGGCTAGCAGCAGTGTAAGCCATCTGGTTTTTCTTCTTGGTATTTTTTGTGCTGCAGTTGAATTCAGAGCCCTGCATGTGCTAAGCATGCCCCCTACTGATGAGTGATACTTTAGTTCTCATCATTCTGTGATTGCTTTGCATTTGGGTGTTAGGCATGTGCTGGAAATCATGCCGCTATGTTCCACGCAAAGCCCCACCACAATGAGCAAATACTCCCAGAAGTGAGGGGACTGGGTCCAGGGTAGATACTGTAATGGACTGGATAGATAATTGCAAGGAAGAATTACCATTTTTGATTCCTACCAGCAACCAATCATTTACCTGTTTTCCCGGAGTTTTGTCAACCATTAGTTTCTGAAGACTTTTTGTGTCACTGTTTTGCTTACCAACACCTTCCCCTCCACAGACAGAAAATGCACAGGCAGCGCAACCAGAGGAGAGCCGTTCCGAAGGGAAGGTGGGCTTCAAGGCCTACAAGAATTACTTCACTGCTGGTGCATCTTGGTTTTTCATCATTTTCCTTATTCTGCTCAACATGGCAGCTCAGGTACATAATGACGTCTGTGCCCTCAATGTGACCTTTACACACATACATTTTTGCATGATTGATGCATTGTGCCATTCACTCAGGATTGGCACTGAGGTGCACTGTCTGGTGGGGTGCAAAGTAAGTGATGACTAGGATTGAAAATGTAAAGTGGGGTTACCTTGTAAGATCTTAACCGTTACGTCTTGTCTGGGAAGTGGGATTTGGCATAGACTCAAGACTACCAGGACCACCGTAGTACTCTATACTCCACATCTTAGTAATTTTGAGTTTCAGACTTGGAAGTCATGCCAATGTTGCATTTTACTTTCCTCTGCAGGTTTTCTATGTTCTTCAGGACTGGTGGCTTTCCTACTGGTGAGTTGTTCTGGTCTGAATTGAAGGCTATAAGATCCATAGGCGGCTTCATTTTCCTGTAGGTTTTAGAGAGAGGTGGGTTTGTTGGGCCTTGTGTTCTTTTTTTTTTTTTTTTTTTTTTTTTAAGATTTATTTATTTATTATGTATACAGCACGTATGACTGCAGGCCAGAAGAGGGCACCAGATCTCATTACAGGTGGTTGTGAGCCACCATGTGGTTGCTGGGAATTGAACTCAGGACCTCTGGAAGAGCAGTCAGTACTCTTAACCTCTGAGCTATCTCTCCAGCCCAGGCCTTCTGTTCTAACCTTAGTCTCCTGAAGAGAGAGAGTGCAGTCTTGCTGGTGAAGTGTGACCTGCAGTGGTCTTTACCCACCTCTGGTCCTCAGCTGTATGGTGAGAACTGAATGTCAAGATTCAAACTGGTTTTTTTTGTTTGTTTTGTTTTGTTTTTTGGCTTTTCAAGACAAGGTTTTTCTGTGTAACAGTCCTGGCTGTCCTAGAACTCACTCTGTAGATCAGGCTGATCTCAAACTCACAGAGATCTCCCTGCCTCTGCCTCTCCCTCCTGAGTGCTGGGATTAAAGGCATGCACCACCACTGCTTGGCTTTGAATTTTATTTTATGTATATGAGTGTTTTGCTTGCATATATATCCATGTGTGAGCCCGGTGGCTACAGAGGCCAGAAGAGGGCATCAGGTCCCTGGAAACAGAATTAAAACAATTGTGATCTGCCATATGGGTGCTGAGAATTGAACCCAGATCCTCTGGAAGAACAGCCAGTGCTCTTAACCACTGACCAATCTCTCCAGCCCATTTCAAACTGAATTTTAAAAGGCGGATACACAAAGGATTGTGAGAGCTGAGAATCATTTTCTAGCACAAGACATTTCTCTCAAACTGAGGTTCCTTTTGTTTTATGTTTACCTAATACTTTTTCCTTCCATAGGGCGAACAAGCAAGGTGCTCTGAACACCACCAAAAATGGGAATGGAAATGTCACCGAGACCCTAGATCTTAACTGGTACTTAGGAATTTACGCAGGTAAAGTTTACTCATTGGGTCTATTATGTGAGAGCCTGAGGTGCTTACAATGAGCCTGTGTGAGCTACCAGAGCTCCTAGGAGTAATTCAGTAGCGTCTTAACAGATTAGGAGACTGAGTCGCATTTACTCTGTGAATTAATTAGAATAATTATTTTTTTTTAAATCTACCAGAAGAAAGAGGTTGAATGAAGACTCTTAATTTGCTCTATACTGGATTTTGAAAGTTAAACTAGGATTGAGCATTCAGAAAACCAGCCACTGGAACTAGGTGGCTATTGTCTCTTCTAATAGGTTGTTTTAGCTAACTCTTATATCATTATATGGATGGGCAGGGGATTAGAAATGGATCCCCACCTTGTGCTTTGAATTGTTCCAATTCTGTATGAATAAGCCCAGGCCTTTATTGAACTTGGATGGAATTCTCTGGCAGCAAGGTCCCCAAATAGAAGCATTATCCCCTCACAGGTATGCAGAGTTCTCTTCAGCACACTGCTCATCTCCTGGGCTTCACTGATCACTGAAGAGGGAGGCTAAGTGGGAGAAACCCAGTGTCTAGGAATTAGGACTCCTTCTCTTTACTACCTTGAGATCAACAATGTTATCATGTCTCCAACTGTGTGATTAATTTAACATTTGGTATGCCAGACTAATAGTAACACCACACTCTGTTTTCACAAGACTGCCTGGAATATGTGTAGAATTACATACTTTAAAAAAGAAAATCCTCATCTAAAATTTCAAGTATTCCCACAGGAAATACTCAAGCTTTCCTTGGATAGAATGCATTATCTGTTAGAACCCACTCACTGAGATTTGGTACTTATTTTGTTGATCTCTTGCTAAGAAACCTTAGTCCATTGACTGGTTACCATCCCAACTGGTGGTCTATGCAAGACCCAGAGGGAAATAGGTCCATTATCTATTCAGGTAGACTGGGAGGCTAAGGAAAAATACCTGTGTCTAGAGTTTTAGAATTTAAGCTGCTTTCAGAGGTTAGATAATAACACTGTGTTGTTACAAGGCAAAATGTTTACCACATCAGTTCTTCCTGTTCTGGGTAGCAGTGTGAACTAAAAGCTACTAGCTACAAGGGGAACAGAGGTTAGGGATGTAGCTCAGTGGTAGAATGCTTGCCTCATATGTGAAGATGTTCCGTCCCCAGCAACACACAGCACACCCCTCACCACACACATATCTGTGCAGAGTGGTTATCCAAGCATGCCTTAGTCAAACATATAGTTTAAATGGTGCTCATTTAAAATCATTAGGTTTATATAAAACACATAGTGATTAGTTGCTTATTTAACTATCTTATGTTAAAACATGATTTATATTTTCTCACAATTCAACCATTTAAGTTTTTCCATGTGCAACTTAATGTGGTATTTTCAAATTCTTTAAAGCTACTTGGGCATTGACTACAAGGAAAAGATAAACCTTTTCCCTGTTAGAATCACATGTTGTTATGAAAACCCACTACAGTGTCAGGTTATGGGACTTAAAAACAATCGTTGGGATGCAGAGACAGAAAGGACGACTTTGCTGTGATTGTTTTCTGTGGAGTTTTTACTGGAACATGCAATTTATTTATGAAAGCCTGCTGTTTATGCTTTATCCACCCTACGCCCACATATATGTTTTCCATTCAGTGAGAAAAACTTTAATTTTTGCCATTCTGTCTTATAAATACATCATGCTTATGTAGGACCTAGATGTTTATGTAATAAAATAAATAATATCTTTATAGACTCTCTAACCTACTGTGGCATTATTGAAGAAAATGTAAAGATCCTGTTTTCTCTGGATGATTTTTCTTTATTTCAGGTTTAACTGCCATTACAGTCCTTTTTGGCATAGCAAGATCCCTATTGGTATTCTACGTTCTTGTGAATGCTTCCCAAACTTTGCACAACAGGATGTTTGAATCAATCCTGAAAGCTCCAGTATTGTTCTTCGATAGAAATCCAATTGGTAAGTCAGATACGGAGTTCCCCAGTCCGTGTGTCCTGTTAATGCATTGAAGAGCTGATGACTTCTCTTTCTTTGAAAGGGGAGGTGATACTGAGAGAAAATCACTCTGCAAATGTTTGTTTTCTACAGTAAGCTTCCCCGATATTTCCCTCCCACAGTAGGAAATCTAAATTATCAGTTACATAGAGTTATCTCAGTGTGTATAAGTGTGTAACGACACATCTACATTTGTTACATAGTTATCTCAGTGTGTATAGGTGTGTAACGACACATCTACACTCAGTTACATAGAGTTATCTCAGTGTGTATAAGTGTGTAACAACACATCTATACTCAGTTGCATAGAGGTATCTCATTGTGTATAGGATAGGTGTGTAACAACACATCCACACTCAGATGGCAGAAATTGTTGTGAATCCTGTTGTCACGTGGCTCACAGAGCTCCCTGCACACCTTGTGGCAGGTAGAATGCAGTTGTGCAGTTGGTAAGACACCTCCTCTGTTCACACAGTGTTGGCCCAGACCACCTTTTGAAGGGTCTCATTAGGAGGAACCTTCTCTGAGCAGGAGATGAGGGGCTGTGCAATTGCTCCTTTTCTTGGGAGGATCTTTCATTTCTTGAAGTCTGAGGACTTGACCATGAGGTTGACCTGACTGATATTAAAGATGTATCTAAAGCCCCCAGAATGTGATCACCCCCAGTATTTTATCTCACTTGTTATAATATAATATAAATATATTATGTATTTAGTGTTTTGAGATAGTCTTTTGCTACTGTAGCCCTGGCTAGACTGGAAGTCACTGTGTAGACTAGGCTAACCCTGAACTGGTGATGATAGCTCTCTTGCCTCTTCTCACAAGTGCTGAGATTCTGCACCATTACATCCCATTTAACTCTGTTTTTAAAACAACCACAAAACCCCCAGTTTCCTTCTTTGCCATTTGTTGTGACCCTCTTAACTCTGTGGACTTTGGTTGTATGACAGTCTTGGTGCTGAAGAGATAGATCCCTGTACTCAGTGCCTTTGCGTGAATGGATGGAGGCCCCACACAATGGTCCTCTGACCCACTTTGCCTCTGCAGGTACCTCCTTGGGCTGAATTCCTAGGAAGTGTTAGTCATCACCACAGACTGGTCATCTGGGGGTCAGTTTGAGCGGCCTGGGCCACCTTTGTTTATGCAGGTGATAATTAATGGGACCTATTGTGGAGGAATGTGACCTGGAGGGAGCACAGAGGACCGGCTGGCCATTAAATACCTGCTGGACCTAGAGCAAAGCATTTAGATAGTATCAGATGAACATTTTTAAAGTAGGATGTGTTGGTTAAAAGTGTGAACCCTGGTGCCAGTGAATATCTCGACACTAGCTCCTTGTGAGAATCCTGGTTATAGCTGTGACGATGTTCGTGGGCCAGTTACTTAATCTCTCTGTGCCTTGACATTCGTATGTGTGAAATCGGGACAATATTCATATTCATCTTATTAGAAACTGAGATTTAAGCAGGTGAATGATTTTCAGTGCTTGGAGTGGTACCTTAGCCTCCCATCAGTTCCCAAAAAGAAGATGAGTGACAGAGACAGGAGCCCTGGAGTTCAGTTTTCTTACCTGTAGGATGGAAATGCCAATTCTGAACTTTTCTGTTTCACATGATTGGCGTGAGGGTTAAACAATACCATTCTGGAAGGCGTCACATTTGCATTAACCCCGCAGATGCTATCTAGTCTGGGCACGAGGTGGAGCCCAAAGACTAATGAGCCACACATGCCCATGCGGTCTGGTTGGAGCTGTGCTCCGAAGGGAGCTGGCGGATTTGGTGCCCTGAGCATCGTAGCTGCTCAGCTGGTTAACTGCATGGACACCTGGAATGTTTGCAGGTGTGTTCTGCTCCCCGTCTCTGCTCCCTGTCCTTCTCACCAGGCTCTTTAGGTTCCAGACCGTAAGCTGTTCCTGGTACTGTTATTTATTGAGGGATTTAGGGCCCGGTCTAAATCCTGGGTAACTACTTCCATCAAGCCAGAGACATTCCTTTCTTTTCCCTGCTGTATCTATTAGCAGGACTTTCTCCCTTCAGGGAAAACAGAGCCCAAATAAACCCCCAAAGATAGACCTCACTGCCATAAATGTAAACACGAGTTATTTACCTTTTTAGTGGAGTACTTAAAACAGAGAAAATGCAAAAACTTTTTAAGATTTCAATTCTCATTTGAACAATATTTTGCACATTTTTCAATGGTGAAGCGATACATCTAAGTTATGAATTATGCTGTATATAGCCTATAACCTTCATTATTTACGTACTGAAGTGGTTATTAAGCACATACTGTGTACAGAAGCACCCCTGTTATGTCGTGCCTCCTCAGTTACACCGCATGTTTGCTGAGCAATGTAAAGACGCAAGAAAAATCTCTTTAAATAATGTTTCCTCAGAGAGCCTTCGGGAGCCCCTGAGGTCAGCAGGAGTTTCCTGCCATCTCTGCATCCCGGTACCCTCCCTGATTTTAGAAACCTTCAGGGACTGGAAGGATTTTTGCCAGGGTATAGTAGTTAGTATCCAGTAAGCTAGACACAGGAGTAGATTGGTGCAGAAACTTCAGCCGGAGCCCCGTAGCTCTGCCTCCTGCGGAGTCCCCTCACCACCGTCTGATGTGTCTCGAGCCCAGCTGGGACCTGAGATCTGACCCCTCCATCCCTTCTCTGGTCGCCACTTGTGTCAGAATCCCAGAGAACATATCCTGGAAGTTCAAAGTGTCTTGTTCCTTCTGCATGGGTTTGCCTTGCTCTCCACCCAGGAGTGGTACTTCCTGGCCTCTCCCTGGTGCTGATCAGTGGGCGACCTTGGCACTTGTCCAGAAACCCAGGCCTTCCATGGAGGCTGCAGCACTGGCCACAGAGCCTTCATCCCAAGTCTCTGGCTGGCGTCTAAAGGAGAGAGTGGGACAAACCTCCATAATGATATCGTCTCATATGGCCGGTGACCAAAGTCACACCCAAGTCATAAGATGTGAAGTTACTCTCTTTGTAGAACCCGTGCGTGAGGATGCAGTTAGTCACAGCGTGTTTATATAACATGGCCCCTGACTATTTCCCCATGTTTCATAACCTGATAAATCTTAAGCTCATAATTAGGATCAATTTCAAACTAAAACAGTCTATGACCTTAGATTGGCAGAACCAACTTTCCTTCTTCCTCTTCATATCCGCCCCCCCTTCCTTCTTCTCACCCTTCTTTGTCTTCTGTCCCCGTCTCCCCCGAGGTGGCCTGGTGATGGCAAGTCCATCTGTCACAGGGCCTCACGTCTCAGCTGTGTTCTTCTGCTTTCCGACATTTGAGTTGGCACTCCAGGTGAACAGTGTTTCTAGTCATCTTCTGGTTGCCACTCCAGGTGAACAGTGTTTCTAGTCATCATCTCATTGCCACTCCAGGTGAACAGTGTTTCTAGTCATCTTCTGGTTGCCACTCCAGGTGAACAGTGTTTCTAGTCATCATCTCGTTGGCACTCCAGGTGAACAGTGTTTCTAGTCATCTTCTGGTTGCCACTCCAGGTGAACAGTGTTTCTAGTCATCATCTCGTTGGCACTCCAGGTGAACAGTGTTTCTAGTCATCTTCTGGTTGCCACTCCAGGTGAACAGTGTTTCTAGTCATCATCTCGTTGGCACTCCAGGTGAACAGTGTTTCTAGTCATCTTCTGGTTGCCACTCCAGGTGAACAGTGTTTCTAGTCATCATCTCGTTGGCACTCCAGGTGAACAGTGTTTCTAGTCATCATCTCGTTGGCACTCCAGGTGAACAGTGTTTCTAGTCATCTTCTGGTTGCCACTCCAGGTGAACAGTGTTTCTAGTCATCATCTCGTTGGCACTCCAGGTGAACGGTATTTCTAGTCATCTTCTGATTCCCTTTTCATCTCCCTCTTCCTCATCAGTTTATCTCCCAGCTTAGCACTTTGGTTCAAGAAGGTCTTAACACACAGGGCCACACAAACTCTGGGTCGAGCATTTTAGCAGAGGTAAACCTGGATTTCTCCTGTGATCACAAGCAGGTTCTCCTTGCAGGGAGCCAGGCTACTCTGCACATTGGTCACAAGAGGGCAGCATGAGCTGCAGAATTGCAGGGACAGAGCCCCAGCGCGCTTGCATGGCAAAACCTGGATCTGCTGTTAAAGCTTTCTTGGAAAAATTCACCTTTTCTATGTTAAGAGGCATTCCCCCCCCATTTATATGACCGAAACATCAAGCTGCATTATAGAAATCTTTGCGTGTTACTGGAGAACACCAAGCATTTCAAAGAGGATATTTTGATCCCCACTCAAGACTCTCTGAACTAGACTCTGGAATAGGCAAGGACTGTCCCCCTGGCTAGATGGATATTATTTCCTAAACGGTTAGTTCTGAGTGACTGCTGTTTTCCTTCAGGGAGAAGGATGATCACTATTTACTTCCATATCATCTGAGTCCACAAAGACCGTTGATCCCATCCAGTCACCCAGCTTTTCCTTTCTCTCTTGGAGACCAGAAGAGTGGCTGGCTAGTGGCCCTGTCTTCTCGTGTCCAGTTTCGGTTACATTGCGAGTGGCCGACTGCATTAACTTCAGATTCCATAGAAATATTTATTTAGCTTTAATTTGACTATTTGCCTGGAAGAAATGGAGCCACTGGTACAGGTAGACACGTTTGTTTCTTTTCTGTAGGAGGTACAGAGTTAGTCTTGGGTGATGGCCAGTGTGTTCATTCACATGACAGATTTTTCCCTGCTATGTTCTGTGTGTGCTGGTGTGTGCATTCCACAGTGTAAAAAGGAGTATCAGTTTATGTCACCATTTTAGAATTAAGTGTGTGAGAAATCAAATACTGAGAAAGAAGGAAAAGAAGCACACTGACTTCTATTGATTTAAAATATATATTAAATAATACACACCACACACACACACACACAGGTTCTTTTGATGGAAGTGGCCATTATCACTAATAGCCCTAGACTTTAAGATAGGCACTCTCATATCC